ATTTAAATTGACGATGATTAATTTTGATTATCGTTTCGATTATTCGCTAAGCTATAAACCTCGCCCTGGAGACTCTCAATACGAGACTCTTTCGCGAGTACGGCGCGAAAGTCCACGTCCCTGATTTCGAAGAGTGTCGTCATTTGCGACAGAACTATCGGGATGTCGATTATTCGGAGTGTGTCATAAGAATCGCAGGACTCACGAGCCATCATCCGTGCGGCACTTGCAGGATAAGTGCGGAGGATGATGCGGTTGTAGATGAGGAGTTAAGGTAAACGATAGATAGAGAATTTAAAGGATGTCTTAAAGGACGACATTTGAGATGAGAGTGAGTGGAGTAATTGTGATAAAATTATAATTACGTTCTCTAGGGTAAAAGGCGTGAGTGGATTGAGGATAATGGACGCCAGCGTAATGCCATCTCCAATTTCTGGCCCGCCAAATTCAGTTCTCGTCGCGATGGCTGAACGCGCGTCTGATGTAATTTTAGATCGCTTGTCCAAATAGTACTCGATTAATTTCATAACGTGTAATGTATTATTGTGAAAATAATAATGTTCGCAATTCACGCAACTCGTTTCCGATTACCTGCCGTTACGATTTGTCATTCGATTATACGATTTGAGGGAAAGGATATCAGGAAGCAATTAGGTCGCAAATGAAAAGAAATCCATGGTGCTCCAAGTTTTTTGTAATTTATAATTAATGGTAAAGTTTTCTTTTGTTTTACAGTAATCGAACAGTTATTAATAATCTAATTAAATTTCGATTAATTTTTATACAAACAAAAAGGGTGAGTTACACTCAACGGCATAGCCGCGAAACCCTGCCATCTCGCTCGCGCTCTCGGAGTGTAAAGAAAAAAACGAAATCTGTACTTGTTTTTTTACATGCTCTCTTCTACTCGAAGGGTTTCTTTTAACTCCACTTCTCCCATCCGGGAGAATCGTTTTGCGATGGCAGAGTTTCGGCATTCTTCCTATTCCACTTCCGCGTTTTGCCTCTTTCCTCTCTTTCGCGCATATATCCGCAAACACACACGCACACATGCACTCTTTCCCTCTTGCGTTTCTCTTTCGTCGGTTCTCCATTTTCTCGAATGCGAATCCGTATTTGTTTCTTTCCGCATCCGATCTCTTCCTCGCAGATAGACATTTACACACACACTCACACGCACGCGTACCTGTGTCGCCTCTTATAAATAAAATAGTTCGATAATAACCCGCGAAGTATTTCGTATTTTCGAAAACGTAACTATGCCCATGCGCACCTCGCTCGTGCCGCAGATAAACGAGCCCGATATTTCGGCGCCTCGCATCTATCTCTTCTCTCTCCCTTCTAC